CCGCATGCAGAGCTTTCACACGCATAACACACGCACAAGGTACTCTAGGAGTGACGGTATATGGGTTTACTTTATCGCAGGTGCATCTCTTTTTGTTTGTTGTGGGTCGAATCGACATTCGGGGACAGCTTCGATTACAAAAAGCTTCCCATTTCTTTGGTTTCTGTTCTTGTTGTTGTTGTTGGTCGTCACACCGTGAACGAATATGGCTGCTTTTGGTAAATGTTTTGTCTTCAACTTTGGTGTAAGCCGTTGGAGAATGAACGAGTATAACCTTAACAAGTGTCAAATGGCTGAACGATTCTTTTACATTGAAATGTCCGTGTCAGCCCTTTGTTCGAATTGCGACTGAGTGATTGGGCGTGTAGGTCGTTCCAAAGGTGAAACGTTCAGAGATATCTTTCGAAACACTGGTTAGTTTTTGACAAAATTACCTGACTGTTATCGTTTCTGACCCGACCCGCACCATGGTGGAGAGTGGACTGAAGCACAGTGGCGCCACTAGAGCCCCAGAAATCACCCGTCCACGCATGTCAACTGTAAATGTTCAACAAAGAACGTTTAGAAATTTACAGTTTACGCATTGGTGTGATCTTTGGACCATTTTCAAATGACCTTGTGATCTTTCTGATCTTTAACGTTCCACGTTCTATGCAATAGAACCTCTCCCTGAAAGAGGCAAATAGCTTCCTGATGTTTCTCTCTCTTTACAGCAATCCCCGTACAAACATGAAATGTTTCCATGTTCAAACGTTGACACGTTTGAGGCATGGAAAGAAATACCAATTGGAGCTCTAGCGATCACCACCTGCTTTCAATACTGAGACTCTCAATCCGTATCACTGGTCTTCGAGTCTAAGAATTCTCCTGCTCTCCACCATAATGTTGCGTAGCAAATATCTTCACTGGCTAATTACTCGAATGAAAAAGGAGAAAAAGAAACCTCGTTGTAGCTTGGTCACACCTTATCAACGAGAATCCTCCCCTGAAACTGAAACTGATATGAATGGAGAGTAAAGAGAAAGGGGGGGAGGGTTGAAAATCAACTCTAGAACACTTTGTACCCTGTATGTGGACAATCGGGGAGAGAGAAACTGAACTTTGATGCACCGTTAAAATAAATATTCTTCTCGAGGGGGTGAGGAGAGGCAGGGCAGAACAAAAGAGATGAGTCGTATTGAATTAGAGAAGGGTGAAGGAAATAGAGACTAATGAATAATAATAATAGAAGACTGTGAAAGCGTACCTTGGCGTGCGTGTATGTGTGTCCTGCACACATATATACGCATACACATACATATACGCGTACACATACACGTGTGTATATACAGGTTGCCCTAAAATATGATACCATTCGAAATATACATGTTCCTTTGGGAATACAAATGAAAAAGTACCTTAAAGAGAGAACTGCATTTATAATGTGGCTTACCATGAAAGTCTGAATTAATCGACTCGATATAACAGCACCATTTGGAACAACGTGTCCCTCACTCTTAGTTTCTAATGAAATATCATTCTATAAATGTTTATAATAGTACCAAGATGGTATAAAAAAAAAGATTGTAGTAACTGTAAATACTCTGTTCGCCAGCTGTTTGCGCGAGTACTCGACTTGCGAAATGGTAAATGGCTCTTTGAATTTGTATTCGCCTGAGAGATAATGCATATTTCGGATGGTTCCGTATTTTTGGAATACCCGGTACACATATATTTACGTATATACACGTATATACGGGCAAATTGTATACGTACATACAGACGCACAGACGTGCATGCAACACCTTAGAATCAAACAAACAAAACAGAAAGAAAAACTGGTTGGTTTTGGGATTGAAATTAGGCATGAGAGAGAGATTACCTCTGAAAGGATTTGTATTAAGTCAAGTTGAATCGATGGAATGGAATCAGAAAAAGAAAACGCGATAAATGAATTTCACTTGTTAGATTTTGGTAACAGGGAGATTCTTTTTCAAAGAGGTATCAACTTTAAATAGATCCAGGGGAAGAGTTTTGTATGCCACCCCAGTTAAACGAGCCCTGCATTCTTTCTGTTCAACGTTTAATCGTGTACCGACGATATCTATTTTGGATATTAATTGAAATATTAATTGAATATAAAATAGGAATATACGGATACTATATGGGTGGCATACTGACACGTTCAACTCAAACCCTTGAGACTTCTAGACCCTTTGTCGTAACTCTTGTGTACGCTTGAAATAGTTATGTTGTGTTGCCCTGTCGGGCAATCCAATTAGTCAATGAGTAATCGCTGCAAATATACAGGCACTATGAATCATCCTTAAAAATAATTTGTCACACTGAAAGCAGGACAGGAGCAATTATGCTGTGTGGAACATTTGTATAGTCAGCGAAGAGTAGACCCAATACTGAACTTGTTAAGTTGAACGTGTCACTTCTAACAAAGGGAAAAAAATAGACCAAAAGAATGATAAACCTCTGGATAAACCATACGTTGCTCGAAAAGATAAAGAGAATCGTCCCTTTGATACAGACACTTGACAAGCAACATCTGCATCAAAGGAGATCGATTAACTCTTACGTATGGCAATCAAATAATTTCAAGTGAAGGGGTCGAAAACAAAAGGGGGTGGCAGAGAAGAAACAGGGGGATACAGTGAAGAGGGTGGATCGGTGCTAAAACATAGGGGGTGTCCAACGACTTTGATATATCTCTTCGCTGTGTGAGTTCGAAGGCAGAACAAAAAGACAGAAGCGAGTATAGAAGCTCGCGCGACACGCAAGCAAAACTGCGACGGAAACGAAACAATGAGAGACAAGCGA